TAATCTCACCGTTGCCCCTTTCATGGAGTATCACTGAGTTCGAGCTTTGCTGAAGTTGACTCTAAACTTTGGCTCCTATTTTGCATAGGATTGCCTTTTCCTTGTTTAAATATAAGCTAAGCCTGGGTATGGCTTTTCAATCCTATAAACTGGGTTTTCATTAACGAACGGCTCCTACCAATACGCTCTCAACTATATCTACAACCTCACAAGGGTTAAAAAGAAACAAAATTCGGATTATAGTGAGTACTTAAATCGTAATTCTAAAACTCTCTAAGAACCTGAAAATTGAACAACGGGACGTCATATGTTCAATGAAGCTCGAATAAGCATAGTTTATATTGCAATTTCAAATATTACGAAAGTAATGCAAAAAACAATATGTGAATTAATGGCAATTAGATGAACGCGCGATCAAACGAGATAGCAGGTAAGAAGCTCACAGGCAGATAATCGAGTGGGTCAAGATAATAAACATGGATGAGTCAGCTGCTTGACGATGAATGAACGTAATTTAAGACGCACTTGGCCTTTAGTGGAACGTAATGACCTAGTCTTGACTCTCGAAGGTGAGTCACTGCCGCCACACCAGCGAGCAAGTGAGTGGATAGTATTCCCATATTCGAAGAAGTTCACTTGACACATTTAAGTGGATCATCATGACGCACTCATTTTTCACAACACTAGTATAACCATGAAACGGATATGCTTACGTTATACTTTTGGCGCGTATTCTAATCAACTACATGTGGACCACACCCGTGCATTGAACACCACGCGCATCTGTTCAGTTGCTGGCGTCGTGACTGCGGCGTTCACCGCCGGGATGGCCCAGCACGTACTCGCTGAGGCAGCCCCGCGCCACAGACCTGATGGAGTTGTCGGGCAGACCGAGCTTTTCCATCTGTAGAGAGAAGCGTGGATCTGTTGCACCAAAGATCTGTATGACCTTGCCATACAGAACTCTGGTGCAAGAGATCCATTATGAAATGATCTGATGCAACAGATCATATTTTAATGAACAATATTGCACACTATTGAGCGCTTCAGGTTTAATAATGCGTATTTAGTAATTGATTGGTTGTTTGAAAGTATGGAGGTATGGCATCGAATCGTAAATGCGAGCATTTCCTTATTTTGCTAGATTCATGGAAAATGTATAAGCAGACGCACGATAAATTCGATCACGATCTCTGCTCAGTAACTATATAAGAACGCTGCTCATGATATTAGAGTAAAGTAACGGAAAATCGATTGAGACGCTCTTTTCAGGTTTTTCAGGGAGTTGTCACATTGGAAGCATATATAAAACTGTAGGAAGTTGTTATAGTATCTTACATCGTTAACTAGATCATGATAACTTACACCTTGGACACGTGCGAAGTCATGATCGATGTCTCCGTTAGTGTGGTGTTCATCCGCGTACACGCACACGTTGGATCCCGTTAAGTTCACGTCGCTGTTGGTTCCAAATTGTTAGTTGAACAACATAGAGTAAGCTGAGACGTGGACAGGTCGAGTGGTTTAGTTAGAGATCATTCTGATCATCAAATATAGCTGAGCATTGGCGCTATATTAAGTTTTGGCACTGCTGGGAGGTTGCTGTTCACTGCTGGTCTCCTCACATGGCAAAGTTTAGATTGTGGTTTTATGAATTGAATACTAATGGGGTTAGCTTTACTGAGATAAAAATGTGCGACGAGTGTTTTATCTAAACTAGACTTGATCTGACTCCCGAACTTTGTACTATCACATGCTGTCCTTTGACATGAAAAGAAAGAATCGAACAATGTTAATCATCAGATTCTTAGAGTAGCGTGTATAATTTATCAAAACTTGACGCATCACGAAATTTTTAAACGACATTAATCGAATTGATCGTTGAGTATATCTAAGCAGAGTATAGATATTGTCTCAAAAGCATACTATCATCGACGCATATTGGCATGACTAACGTGTAGAACGTCCACCCCGACTGCCCGGTCACGATGAGAGACGAGACGGCCATGTCCAGGTCCCCCAAGTCAGCGGCGTTTGTGTTGCCTCTGAACTCCCTGCCTCTGAAGTACGTCCCCTCGTACAGGTTGTAGTAGTTGTCGTTGAGGCCGTACGGACTTCCTGCGTACCTCAGCGACGATACCTGAGGATAAATCAGCCTAATGGAACAGAATTTGCCTCAATCCTCTGTATGGAGATTATGTTCATTTTTATAATGGAATTTGTAAGGGAATTGTACACTAAGCATAATGATTCTTTGGATTAATTCCGTCTAGTGTTTGTTTCTTATCATGATAAATCCATACCAAGTAATGCTTAAAATCTGATAATACTAGAAAAACTTGAAAACCCATAGTATGATTACATTCGTAAAATTTCTATATCAGTTTTACTTACCATGTTTTGGCACTGAGGGCTCCAATTTCCGCACTCGCCAATTGGCCGAACTGTGCATTCAGTTTCATTGGTGATCGGGTCGTAGTTCACTTCGTCGTAGAGCAGCCATCTGAAATTTGGCGCTCGAATGAATGAACTGATTTCTGACATTCAGTCGATGTTATTTTCTTGTTTGCTGGGATCAGAAAGTTGGATTTCTCAGGGGGATCATGTCAACCCGGGCAGTCAGCTAAATTCTGTGTTTATGCTACGGTAAAGCTTGTTTATGAAAATAGCTTTAAGAGACAGTATTTACTGACTTTACTTACATTCCAACGCCACATGCGCTCTGGATGCTGTTGTCCATCTGCACGACGCTGAGGTCAGGCATGTACTCCGTGAACTGGTAGTGGGCGCCGGTTTGGTTGAGGCCGACGTAACCTGTCAGGTACCGGAAATCACCTGCTCCTGCAACCCCTGCTGGGGAAGAAACTTGCATAACGTCTGTGACCGATGACCTTTATTTATCGACGATCTTAATGATAAAATTGTAAAGAGAAATTGAATGCACAAATTGAGCACATTTTTGAGTGTATTCAGGAAGGCGAAATCGATCAAGGAATGCATAGAAATGGTAAAAAAATACTAGATTGTGATACCTTTCTCAGATCGAATGATTGAAGTGATGAAAACTAAAAGGCACCAGAACTCTAGGAACTTCATTTTGATCTTATTTCAAGACAAACTACCAAACGTTGAAGTTTCGAGGGGCCACTGCAAAGGCTCTGATGATACGTTAAATCTTACCAGTTGAGTGTCTTGAGAAGTGTCAGCTATCCTTGCAAATGTTATACTTCGCACGAGTAGACGATAGGGTGGCATCAAAGTGTAGCAGATAAAGAGATATACGAGTCACGATAGGCAGAACTTTTCCCGATGCGCTACCGAAGAGACGTAAGATCGTTGTCTTTTCAATTATCTAATCGAAGTTCTTCGGTAATGAAGTTTCAACCTGTAGTTTCATGGGTCGGCTGCTTATAAGCTTAAAGAATTAAATGGCATCGATATTACTAGACAAGCCACTTGCCGGTTGTCATGCTTTATTTGAATTAGCCTGACAATTTTTGCTGGTAGCATATCTGTGAGAGGTTGATCTGAAAAAGGTTTCTACTTACAAAATAGCCTTAGACCTGGAACTAACTGTGGCCTTATATGCTTATAAAGCAAGAAGTTTGTATGAGGCGCACCTTCTATCCAAACTCATGACTTCCGATTTGAAACTAACCCAAGATAGCTTTCATTAACCAACCTTAAAGTAAATTGAAAGATATGAACGTTAATTGTCTATATGTTCGTTTCTACATGTTGTCATGTTGCCACAAGTAGAAATTCAAAATACTATTATTTTTTGTTGCAAACTTCCAGCATAGGGTTTAAATTTACGGAAAATTTATGTTTTCGCTTTACTGAGCATCAAAATTCATTTAAACTACTGAAAAATTAAAGAAAAAAACTTTTCTTGCGCAAAAGTTTCCCTTCCTTTATGAGATTGAAGTAAACTCGGTAGAAAATGCTCTCGTTGAAATCTCAACAAATCAATTTATTGCAGAAGGTTATAATAATATAATAATAGCGGTTCCAGCGTTGTAGGCAGTAGGCCTGTCGCCTATTCTTAACATCGCAGAACATTCAAAGCATTTTGCGGTCTCGAACTCGCAACTCACCGCTACAATTCTGCTGTGCTTAACCGCCCGGCCTCCTCGCCGATTCTGACCAGAAACTGGCGCACAGAGCTGGGATCGAACCCGCGCCTCTCTGCTCCAATCCTGGTACGCTCAACTGTAACCACTGGGCCACCCGTTTCAACAGCTCAGATTTAAAACCGAAGTCTAGCAACTAATGAAAAGAATAGTTAGTATTGCTAGCGTAAATGAGGAACAATCATGAGGGAAGTATATAAAGGGAACCGTTTGCTTATCATTCTTCTAAAAGCTGCAGAAGATGACACATGAAGCAATAAGCAATTTTCCGAAGACATTTCCCAATTTCTGAGGTCCGTTTGATCATCACGCGAACAGTGAGAATTGAGACATATGCAGATATTGCCGCCTGTTCTCATAACTCTCAACTCAGACCGTTGCTATCCTGCGGTATACATTAGAAATAATACAATCAATTACCTGACCTATGACTTGATATTCACCACGAAGATTGGTCAATAGCGCGACGCGAGTCTCGACTTTATAGTTGGAACCTATGCTGTATTATCTCCCCTGTTAACTAGGCCTTTTTTGTAGTTCCTGTCCTATATGTGCCGGGGATCGCATTTCAAGCCTTTATTTTTTTAAGCCTCCAATAGCATTAGCCGCTTTATGTAAGGAACTCGGTTATAGGAACTACCAGCATGGCGGTAAATCATGAAATAACTTTAAAAATTATGCATATATTAAGCTCTTATTTGTGGCAGAAGATACATCAGTAATCATCAAATGATTCTTTGGTTTTATTTTCCACTCGTCCGATGCCTGCCTGATTACCTCGCTCATCGTGGGAATTGTGACATTTGCATAGATTGCCTATTGACTGTCAGTTCAACGCGCCGTTCTCCTCTATATAGTGCATCTTAATTGACGCACTCTTTGTGGTAGCGCTTTCAAACTCCAAGTTATAGCTTGTCATGCAGTGTTGAAATAAGTTCATGATGACGGCTCCGATGTTCTGGCGCTGTTATTTTTTGTCGCTACAATCAACCTAAATGCCCGAGGTAACACAATGCGTCCACATTGGATCATCATGTATTTCTTACCCCAATTTTAATTCTTCCACTCCAGAAAATTCGACATAAATATCTATTATACATTTCGAAAATTGTGTGTTAGTTTGTTCTAAATCTCCCTAGGTAATACGAGTTTCATTAACGTATTTAATTAAATTAATGAAAATATTGAAGAATTAAATCATTTTTATATAACGCCGTTTGGCTGTACATTTTCCTGGCACTAGAACTACATAGGGATTGTTGGGGCGCGTATCCAGGATACATCACGTGTCGGAATGTTGTATATAGGGGCTTCTGGGGGCGTATTTAGAATATTTATTGTGAGATTTCGTAAGTTATAATTTTTGTGGATGCAAGATTGTTTTAAAGTTAGTTAGTAGTTTAAAGTAGTAGTTTAAAGTTAGTCTCCCATAACTTCTTTGTGAACTCGAAATTTATGTGTCCAATGCGTTTTCGTAGCTAGTATACTGCCAGTACCTCTTCTTGCCATTCGGAACATATATCAAAGATGGTAAAAGATGAAAAAGAAAATGGCAAATAATTATAGAAGATGGAAAGACAAAGCAAATTGATATCAAAGACGTGGAGAATTATCAATTTTCGGGGTTCTATATAGAAGATTGAAGCAAATGAAAGAAATTATTAGTGTAAATCGGTTTTGTATCCTTGACGACTGACTGATTTTTATGTTGAGATTTTATGGAGTCAGATCAGACAGAAAAATTCTATTCGTTGTACAACACTGGGATTGTACGTGTTAACTCAGTTAGCACCGGGATTGCTAACTGAGTTCAAGTAGATATTGGCATATTGCATATCAATACAAAAATTCAACAGTTATGGTGTCGGGATATTGTATGTAGGGGCTACTTCATGTTGTTGGCACAATGTAATATAGGCGCTGTTGGGGCACGTATCCAAGATCCTTATCGAGACGGGATATTGTAATTAGGCGCCCTTGGGGGGGGGGCGTATTCAGGATTGTTATCGTTAAAGGTTATGGTACGTAAGGCTGTTGGGCGCGTTTCCATGGAACTTTTTGGTGTGGGTCGCCTGCCGAAGACCACCACTGCCCTGGATGCAATGGACCATCATGATTCCTGCCTTCCGGAACGTAGCCTTCAACACTTCAAGCCGTCCGTATCTGGGCCGTGGGTCGAACCAACCCTCGGTCGAACGGCCCCTGGTCGAAGGACGATAAATTTTGGAACAGAACTATGCTATATGAAACAACCTCAGATGCGGCGAACGTAAAATTACGTAATTTAACGATGCCAGTAAGTCAGATTCGATCCGCGGCCTGGTGGTGCACGGCAGGTTCTATGCGAGGCCGGAGGAAGTCAAAGCCGAGTGGTTCACGGCTGATTGGTGGATGTCCGGAGAGATCCAATTCGTTCGATTCGGGGCTTATTGGTGCAAAAAATTGGTGGTGCACGGCTGCGCTCCCTTTGGTGTCAGTAAGCATTATAGTGTCGGTGAAATTTATGGTGTCGGTAAACCTTATGGTGTCGTTAAACTTTACGGTAAACAAATCTCAGAAAAAGTTCGGACACTATACGAACAAAGTTCGAATTGATCTCGATCGAATCTCGGCCAAATTTCGGACAGATATAATGAGTCCGAGCAAATTTGTGATGAATCCCAGACCAAAGAGAGTTTCATTAGTTGGTTGTTTATAAAATGTTATTATCTATTTCACTTCTCTCATGCAGCTCTAATAGAAATTTCCGCGGGGATCACTTTAAAATGAAACATTTCGAACATCTGCATGAAAGTATATTGTGGTTCCATAGATAATTTAAATGCAAGCTCATCTTTCACGGAAGCATGACAGATAATAGTTTTCCTGAGATATTTCGACGAAACTTTGAGGAGTCGTACGAGAATAATTGAAATTCTTCTGCAAGTCTACTGAAAATTTATCAATTAATATTATCATCCGTTATTAATACAAATAAGATTTCAGTCATGCAGTTGATTGGTAGTTCGCAACTATAGAATAGACAGCTCATCATTACTATTTCTCTGGGCCTCTCGTATAGTTATTTGAAGCTACGTATGAGTGTCAAAAGTTATTAAAATCTTATCACACTAATAGAAATTTTTATTTTTTTCAGTAGTTGCGGGAGTTGGTGATTTCCGGTACCTGACAGGTTACGCCGGCCTCAACCAAACCGGGGCACACTACCTGTTCACCGACTACAGCCCCGACCTCAGCGTAGTGCTGATGGACAACACCATCGAGAGCGCCTGTGAGACTGGAAAGTGAGTAAAATGAGTGGAGTGGCACCACATTGATATTGTCACGGAGACGATTTCAATTAATGTTATTGTATCAATTTTAGAACTCACAAGTTATTCAACAGAATTTGAACTTCACACAAATAGTGGACTTCACAAAATATGAACGGGAATAATAAGAAAAATTGATTCTGTATAATTTTGAAAACATTTACATGTTTGATATATAATTTGATCTACATTCCGTGCCATGCACACTGAATTTGAATTTACGAGCAATATCTTCTCGCTTAATGGATTTCCTTCTAACCTGATGTTTATCCTAAATGATAAATTCATGTCCAAGCGGTACAGTGAGGTTGTTCCAGAGCCTGAAAATGGGAACTTTATTTAACATTCTTTTCCATACTTTGCTCATGCGTCAGAAGCTATCTGAAGAGAATTAGAGAATTAAAATATTTATTTATGAAATACTTCGTAACATTAATCTTAATATTTGATTGTTGAACAATTTTAAGAAAGGTTCTTACTTCAGGTACAAAAATATCTTCCCCTTTCGTATGCGACCGTCTCTAGTCTGTATATATAGCTGTGCCCGATGTGCACATGCGTACGTCGGGATGACGTCACACAATCTTTATTCTATGGTCGCAGAGCATTAAAAGGAAGGTTTTAGCTTCTAGTTCTGTTGCTTCTCATCTGCGTATTTTGGAATCATTGTATACTTTTAAAGAGAGGCCTAGTTTGAATGCAGCCTTTAGCTCTGATCCACTAGAAATTGTGAATAGATTCGTTTTGGCTAGTTTTTTATTGTATTTTGTCTGTCTGGTGTTCGTAAATTCAGGTTTTAACTTCTGTGCTTTTCTTTTAAATTTAGACTATTAACTTCTGATTGTTTCTGTATTCTAGATTTTTCTAACTGACGATGGAACTGGTCTCCGAAACATTTTCAAGAAATATTGCATTTGTCTCGAGTTTTCTTTTCTTTTGAATTTATACTGAATTTATTATTTAATCAATCGAGTGACATTAATACTTGTGTTCAATTATAATGTAACTGATACGGAACAACAGTAATATTGATGTACAGTAAGAAAATTTCTTATTACTGTTATAACATACATAAATGTTTCGTCCTTCAGCAAATAGATTACAATTTTACGTTCAGATTTTCCTCTTTAATTCGCATTTATTTAAGTTACGCTATTTCATAAATCATAAATTAGTTGCTGCGATCACTGAGATTGTTTTGACACATCATCCAAACAATGCTGTCAGACCATCATACAAAGCCGAAATTAATGATGCTTTGCTTTTTGCGCAACACTATAAACTATTATGCAAATCATTTCCACAGCTGGATACTCTACGACACTCCAAACTACGGCTCGAACGATACGGAGTTTTCTTACCGCTTTACAGAAGTCAGCTGGTGCGGGAATATAGCCACAAGCTTCAGGAACATGGTGAGAAAATCATGGAACTAGCCTAATTAGCGTACCAACTAATGAGGTGGTATCTTGATATGCTCACCTAAACAATTTTTGTATTGATTCTTCCTGATTGAACAGAACGAGGTTAAGTAAAAAATTGTATTTCTTATTTATGACCCACCACTGGCGCCTTCTTGCTTACATTAACGGAATTCTTCTACAATAAAACGATGACTATATAATGCTCAGTTGAGTCAATAATTTAATTGTTAGAATATTACGCTAAGCACAGGCGATCCAGAATTTCATCTAAAATACTGCTTATCTGGTAGGCGTCCTCGCTGAGGTACGCTGGGAGCCCAAACGGCCTCAACGATAACTATTACAATCTGTACGAGGGAACGCACTTCCGGGGCAGGGAGTTCAGAGGCAACACAAACGCGTCCGACGTGGGTGACCTGGACATGGCCGTCTCATCGCTTGTCGTGACCGGACAGTCGTCGTGGACCTTCTACACGTAAGTCCCAAGTTCTTCTGCTGTATGGTGGGAAATATTATTAGGTATAATTAACTGGCTGGAGAATAGGTCCCTGACCGAGAAAGAACTTTTGCCAGTCTCACACCGTTGTCTTATACATATAGGCAATCCAGATGGGGGCGCAGGAGGGAACAAGAGAGTGGACTGCATGTTGAATAATCTGGTGTTGGTGAAACCATTCATTTATTGGGCCACATTAGTTTCATTGCCCTAACTCCTGACTTAGCCTAAAATCTCTTGCCTTAATGTGCAATTTTGAGAGAAAATTGAGAGGCAAATAAGGGAAAACAAGTAGAGTAAAATTCCGACAGCAGTAATAAATTAGTTTCAGAAATGAAATGTATTCTTCTCCATATAATTAAAAAAATTTATTTTTCATTTCTCGGATGCAAGAAAATCAAGGTGGTCGAGCAACAAGAAAGACGAATGCAAAAAAATAACTTTGGAGTTTGCCTTCCATTCTTCACAGTAATAGCAATCTTGCACTTGTAACTAAAATGAACAAAGTGAAACCTCGAGGAAAGGATTAAATAAAGTGGAAAAGTAAAAGCATTGAAGGATTAAGAAAATTATGGCTTCCATCATTGAAGAATGCAAGCACAAATTAAATTGCAGTTTTTACAACGAAGTATTCATGCCAACCGAAAGGCGAAAGCCATTCATGAATATAAACCTGTCAATATGAGTGAAGAAAAATTATTAGCAGCATTTTAAACTAGCATTTCTAGCAAGCGGAGTAAATGTTTACCAAATGTAGCATATTCGATCATATCAGTTTTAGTGCGCAGTTGCATCACTCGCAGGTATCCGAAACATTCCTTATTTCAATATTGATTAGTGGCATAGTTCCTATCTATCCTATCTAGGTTTCGGTTATCTATTTAAATTCTCTTTCCTACTTTTCTGGGATAACGCACTTTTACGACGAACAATCAGAAATCCTTATTACTTCAGATTTACGTTACGTTCTTGTTTTAATATCTATATAATGTCAGGTTGGATTAAGCCGTAGTGGTCGCTAGCGGCGCGTTGATACAGTTCTCGACTGGCCAATGACGATTTGACACAAGAAGATAGATAATGACACATGTAAATACCTCAACACTTCCTATATCATAAAAAATCAGACAATTACAGGACTGGATAGATCGAATTACAGAATACAAGACACAGACCTAATTACAGAAATTTATTGGCTTTGCGAAAGCACCAGCCTCTACGGAAATTAAAGAAACTACGGAAATCCCGTCATCAATCGTACGTCGTCAGATCTTGTGACGTGGGTATCAGTGCTCGTGGTAATCGGTTCATTCGGCAATAATCTTACGGCGTCAGGTCTTGTATCGTGGCTATCAATCCTCGGGCAAGCGGTTCACTCGTCAAATCCAATCACGTTCCAACACTGCTCCGACCTTAGTCTGGTTGCGTCACCCAACAGAGACAAGTACAGCAACCTCCCACTCGGCTTGTTGCCACGGGCCTGTCTTTCACGGTAGTTACCGTAGTAACTGAATGATCGCTAATAAATGCAGATATTAAAATGTAAGTTATTTGTTTTGATTTAATTACATGTGTGTTCATATCTTTGATAAATTCGTAATTGTGTAATTTCCCTATCATTATCTATAATCAAGAAATAAATGCAGATTTGCACAGCCTGCCAGAGCAAGTGCGCAGAGGCTAGATAGCGCCTGACCGGGTCTGACGATATCGTCACTCAAGTGAATATTTTTACCATGTCGCGCTTCTCTCGCGTCTCAACTCTCAACGCCGTCAGGGCTGTGGTGGCTGGCTCCATTAACACTTTCAAATTTTAACTATGTTCTCCTAATTTTTCACAATGAAATCATTCATCGTCTTATTGTTCATTCGAGTATTCACACATATGTTTTGGTTGGCTTGCATTCATGTCCACGGGCTCAAATTGACTACTACCATTAACAGCGGCCTCCACTACACCGGAGCCAACGTGTGCGTGTATGCGTTCTCTCATCCCACCCACGATGGCATTGATCTCGACAGCACATTCTACAGAAATGTAAGGTGACATACTTGAATATTATTATTATTTGGATACCATGCTTTACGATTAAGCCATGAGACCCTGTACTCAATATTTTCGGTGTAAGGTATCGTTCACGAAGTAAACGAAGTTAGATACTATCTATATATAAGCTCCATATCACTGTGTTAGATATTATCGTCGATACTTCAATTGTTAGACACTATCTTTAATGTTCAAGCTGTAAGAAATTATCCACAACGTTTAGAGGGTACGGTACCATTCATGATACCCATGCTCGATAATTACGAAGTAGGATACTGCGTTCTAATCTTTCGTAGTAAGATTCCACGCTCGATATTTACGAGATAAGATACCATGCCCAATAAATAAGAATACCAAATACGTTGCTCGATGTTTCGAATGTGAGATATAATTCTTAATGTTATGATGGCGGATACGCTGCTAGAGTTACTGAAATCTTGCAAGGTTTCCGACCTGATAATTTTCGATCATTTTATTTTATCACATTCTAATCTGTCACAATTAAATCATTCATCGTATTATTGTTTATTCGAGCATTCACACATAAGTTCTGGTCGGCTTGCATTCATGTCCACGGGCTTAAATCGACTATTACCATTAACAGCGGCCTCCACTACACCGGAGCCAACGTGTGCGTGTACGCGTTCATTCATTTCACCCACGATGGCATCGATCTCGACACCGCATACTACATAAATGTAAGGTGACATACTTGAATATTATTATTTGGATACCATGCTTTATGATTAAGCAGTGAGACACTGTACTCAATATTTTCGGTGTAAGGTAGCATTCATGAAGTAAACGTATATATATGTAAATACTATCTATATACATATATATATACTATGTATAAGCTCCATATTACTGTGTTAGATATTATCATCGAAACTTTAATTGTTAGACACCATCTTTAATGTTCAAGCTGTAAGAAATAATCCACAACGTTTAGGGGGTGCGGTATCACGCACGATACCCATGCTCGATAATTACGGAGTAGGATACTACGTTCTAATCTTTCGTAGTAAGATTACGCACTCGGTATTTACGGGGTAAGATACCATGCACGATAAATAAGAATACCAAATACAATGCTCGATGTTTCGAATGTGAGATATAATTCTTGATGTTACGATGGCGGATACGATGCTAGAGTTACTGAAATCTTGCAAGATTTCCGACCTGACAATTTTCGAACATTATATTTTACCACCTTGCTGGCAAATTTCTTCATTAGTTTTCTAAATGAATTAAGGCGTTTCTACGAAAAAAATTCTGAGACAGCTGTTACCTGGTTTCATTGCGAACTGGATGAGATAGATTCCCAGTTCAGAATAATCTGATAATTTTCTAAACACCACAACTGCGATCACCAAGTGTGAGCCAAAATAGCCAACCACTTCCGATACTTTCTTAGAGGATGGAAGCGAAAATTTTCTAACAGGGTATTTATCTATATAATCGTTAGTTTGTTCAAAAACATTTAACATATCGAACCCACCACGATTCAGTACGCCGTACGGCTGGGAGTCCAGAACCTGATGAAGTCAGTCTGTTAGTGACTCCCAATGATGGATTTTCTTGCCGGCCGCAGCAGGTCGACTGCTACGTGTGATTGTCTCACCAGCACTGCCCACGTATCACTGTCCTTATCGTTTGCAAATTTCACGGCATCTGAGTAAAGAAATACGCTTGTTTAGTGATGAAATTATAAAGTCAAACAAGGATTTTTTTAAATATCGATTGGATGGGATATAGTCAATATGATTGACAATTAAATGATCAGTCCGTTAATAACATGTCTAACCTCTAAAAAGTAATTTACTCGAAGTAGACAAAATTAATGCAAAAACTGTGGTTTCCTTGCAAGTTGACGATTCGAATCCCCAGAAGATTTTGATAAACACGATACCCCAATCCTATGGAGCCTAAAGACTCCGTCCTGAAACATTTTCCTTGCAGATGGACGACCTCGGTCTGCCAGACAACTCCATCAGGTCTGTCGCGCGGGGCTGCCTGAGCGAGCGCGTGCTGGGCCATCCCGGCGCTGAACGCGGCGGTCGAAACGCCAGCAACTGAACACTATATATAGAGGACAGATGTGCGTGATGTTCTGTGCAGGCATTCAGACTGCATGTGTTGGTTGTTGACCGCATAAATGAACGTCACATGCGTCTGAGGCATGATGGACACTGCATGAATGTATACTAGGTGGGCGTGATGAACGGATGCAATGGTTGTTCACATCAAGCTCGTTTCCTTTGTGTAATGAAGAGATGTGTTTGATGCCCATCCTGCAAACATTATATCAACAGATGGTCTTGACGTGTATAATGTTTGCAGCGTATACTCGTATGCGTTAAGCGCTCGCATATATACTGCTTTCATGGTGCCCAAATGCTTGTTTTTATCCAAACACTCTCTGATGTGTGTACTCGACTGTGGCCCACAATAAAAAAGAGCAGATGGCAAGGCACAACCATTGAGTACCTGTCAGCTGGTGTGTTGTGAGCTAATTTAATTCATGCCTCCTGCCTTTTATGGAAATATTGCATTTTTCACGTTTGTATTCTCTCACTTCGATTGCATAAAGTTTCCTGTGAACTTTTTAGTTTCACTGAAATGCTATACGGTTTTGTGTATATCATTCCGGCTCTGGGCTGAGACCCTCTCCCTGTCCCATGCGCACCGGATAATTAGTTGTTGTCGCAGTGTCATGCGGAAAGTGTTAAAAAAAATAAGCGACATAGAATTGCCAGAATGTCGTGAAATTAAGGCTCGTAGTCAGAATGCGGCGAAGTCTGAGAGTGAGGTTTTAGCAACCATCCTGTGAGATCTTCGATCTGCCCTAAGGTCGGCCAGTCGCTACCCTCGAGATTTTACTCTTTGTGATATGATATCCTAACCAGCCCCTTTTTTGCGGCACCTGGTGGCTTTCAGGTGGCCGAGGAATGGCCAGTGGTCGGCTATACCTAATTGGACTAGCCCGACCACTGGCCACTTATAACTCCTCGCCCCTCATTGAGTTCGCCTTCACCATGGCGCCAGTCGCGAACTGACAGCTCAGTAATTTGCGATGACTCTTTCCCCTCATACCTTCCACAAAGACTCTATCTAAACAGTAAATATACGGGATTTTCACTCCATGTATAAGCATGCTCGAATATAAGTATTTTTTGGTAGGTAATATCTACAAATGTAATAGGTGGGTAATATCTACAACAAAAAATATCAAGTGTACCATTCAGAGGAAAACGAAAATTATAACCCGTTGACATCTCGAAAAAAGTGTAAAATTCGCAAACTTGACAAGGAATTTAAAAGCAAAGAAAATTCACCATATCGATATTGAAAACGTTTCGGAGTCCAGCTCCATCATCAGTTCGGCTAAACTAAAAATGAATAAAATCACTTTAAAAGTCAAAATTCAAAGACAGACATAAAACCTAAACAAGACCTAACATTATATCGAAAATATAATCGTTAGTTTGTTCAAAAACATTTAACATATCGAACCCACCACGATTCAGTACGCCGTACGGCTGTGAGCCCAGAACCAGATGAAGTCAGTCTCTACAGACTTACAATGATGGATTTTCTTGCCGGCCGCCATATGCTCGAACGCTACGCGTGTTCGTCTCACGAGCACTGCCTTCTTATCACTGTCCTTATCGTTTGCAAGTTTCACGGCATCTGAGTAAAGAAATACGCTTGTTTAATGATGAAATTATAAGGTCAAACAAGTGATTTTTTAAAGATCGATTGGATGGGATATAGTCATTATAATTGACAATTAAATTATCAGTCCGTTTATAATAACATGTCCAACGTCCAAAAAATAATTTACTCGACGTAGACAAAAAATGCAAAAAACGGAGGTTTCCTTGCAAGTTGAAGATTCGAATCCCCAGAAGATTTTGATAGACACGATACCCCAAGCCTATGGAATCTAAAGACTCCGGCCTGAAACATTTTCCTTGCAGATGGACGACCTCGGTTTGCCAGACAACTCCATCAGGTCTGTCGCGCGGGACTGCCTCATCGAGCGCGTGCTGGGCCATCCCGGCGGTGAACGCGGCGGTCAAGACGCCACCAACTGAACACTATATATAGAGGACAGATGTGCGTGATGTTCTGTGCAGGCATTCAGACTGCATGTGTTGGTTGTTGACTGCATAAATGAACGTCACATGCGTTTTGATGCATGATAGTCAGAGCATGATGGTCACTGCATGAATGTATACTAGGTGGGTGTGATGAAAAGATGCGATGGTTGTTCACATCAAGCAGAAGTGTTTCCTTTGAGTAAAGAAGAGATGTGTTTGATGTCCATCCTTCAAACATTATATCAACAGATGGTCTTGACGTGTATAATGTTTGCATCGTTTACTCGTATACGTTAAGCGCTCGTATATATGCTGCTTTCATGGTGCACAAATGCTTGTTTTTATCCAAACACTCTTTGATGTGTGTACTCGACTGTGGCCCACAATAAAAAAGAGCCGATGGCAAGGCATAACCATTCAGTACCTGTCAGCTGGTGTGTTGTGACGTACCTGTCAGCTGGTGTGTTGAGTACCTGTCAGTTGGTGTGTTGAGTACCTGTCTGCTGGTGTATTGTGACTATGTCGACCTTCCCCCTCATACCTTCCACATACCTCCATTAAATCAGTTAATATACGGACTTTTCCCTCCACATATCAACCAGTTTTTCATAACCAGTTTTTGGTAGATAATATCTACAACAAGAAGGCTGGTCAAGAAATGCCGAGGATACCATTCAACGGAGAATATGATGAGTCGATATTCTAGGAGATTGAAAGACATTTTGAGAATACCTTAGTTTCATTTTTGCGCGAAAAATTCTTGATGTATTGGTTCACTGGAAGCAGCAGGCAAATTTTTCCGTTTTATGGGCTGTAGAGAATAAGAACCCATTGACATCTCGAAAAAGTGTATAAGTCGCAGACTTGATGAAGAATTAATGTTCAGTTTCTTGTAATTACCTCCATCATATAGCTCTATACATATAAAGTTTACATATTTTTTATTTCTGTCCACGTTTGTAAATAATTAGCTGGGTAATTATGGAAAAATTCATATCGCTATCTCATTTTCCTGTGGAGTTAAGTCCAGCCTAATTTGTGGAGGAACGTAAAAGGAAGAGCCGAGCCTGTTCGAAGCTTCGCGATCCTCAATTAGAGCCTTAATAACGGGTTTGGTTTTTCTTTGGCGTGTGAGTTAATTGGAGAACTAGAGGTCGTAGTGTTCCAAGGCTGTCGAACATGTTTTTCGCGCTTGTTAGAGGAAGACAGTGTTTATGGCGATATTTCGCAATATTCGTGAGAATATAAAGTCAGGCAGGTATCGATGATAAAGGACAATGCTCTGACGCTTTTTAATCGAATTACACGAGAAAATTGCTTCTTGTCCTCGCAATAGCCCGCTGGTTATTCATCAGCCATCGGAAGACCGCCCGCTGCTTATGATCTGAGTTGCGATGGACATCTGGTTGAGATACCTCTACGGTCGCTCACGGAGCACGTGGTTCATTGAGGTATGCGATGGTCTGCGTGGGTCCGTGCTTCGAATTTAACCTATGTCTGACCCCATCGCACGGCTCCAATCAGTAAACTCTAAGATTCATTGAAAACCTTGCAACTGGAAAATAGAAGCGAAATACGGCACATAATTATGGTATTCTTGTAAAGAATTTTTCAATTCGCTACATAATAGGTTAAATTAAGAATAATCATCTGAGGGGGATTTATTAGATTTGATTTTTGGGTCCGCTTCATGATTCTCTGTAAGGAACGGTCAAGGTAGGTCAAGATTCAGGCTTCTTAGTGGATTATGGCAACTTGATTGTTCAATAATTTAGCTAGGCCATAGTCCAGACTTCAAGGATTACAGGCCACTGGGCATCCAAGGCTCAAATCTTCATTCGAAAGAATTATCTTCAATAGTTTGGTCAGGATGGGAATGATCAGGGAAGGATCGGGACCAGCTAGCCGCGGGCAGCTCAGCAACGGACGTTTTTTATACTATTGAAAATAAAATTAGGGTTATAGCATAAGCAGCTCTGGCGTCCATAGTCTCTATAAATGCATAAAAAAGGCAGTATAAACAAATATAAGGCAATGCATATAAATATTTGGAACCCGCATTAATCTAGTCGGAGTGAGTGTGTAACCGAGGTCACACACTCACTGAGTGTGTAACCGAGGTAACACATTCTATTTGAAACATGAACCAACACTAGGGGCCACAGCTATAAACTAAAAAAACTGCGATGCAACTCGTCCATGCGACAACACTTCTCGCTTCGAGTCACCGACATGTGGAACAGCCTCCCTGAAGATATTGTTGACGCTCCGAGTATGAACGCGTTCAAGAACAGACTAGACAAGGCCATGCAGGAGCATATGTTTAGTTTTGAAATGCCTCTTATCCTTCGGAACAACTGAAATCTTGAACGATTTTACACTTACCGTCCGTTGAAAAGATTTGATCAAAAGGCCAGTATAGTCAAGAAAAATACAAGAATCGGCGACAGGCCTATCCAAGCCTACTCTTCAATGCCGAAGATAATATAATATACTATACTATACAACTGCTATAGGCTATAATGCAATGAACTAAACCCTAAGAAAATAGGAGAGTAATGTGGGAGGAATGTTCGCCAGAAAGGACAAGCAGGAGAGTAGGAAGTTCAAATGCACGGGGAAAAGTTGGAGGAGGAACGAAACCCTAAACCTCAATTTTATTAAACTAGACCTTAAGCAATCCACCAAGTTGATTTAAATCCACTTTAAACGTCCCAAATGGAGAATCACCAAACGTAACGTATGGTGAGCCTTAGATAAATCCTAAATACAAGAGGAATAAATAATTAAATAAATACTATTGGAACCAAATTCACACAAAATCATAAGACAGTAGAATAATAATCTTAATTAGCAAGGATTGAGAGCCTATAGTCGCAGAAGATGCGTAGGCCAAGCGTCAGGTCGCAGTTAAAGTACGAGATATTGCAAGGTCGGCAGCCAGGTACGAATCTTAGATAAATAGATGCGCTACCTCGTCACCTGACTGCAGACGAAGGCAGCAATGCGTTCGAAAGTTGTATTTTTTACATTCTGGTACATCAAAATGGAAAATCGAATCTAGTGCGAATTTCGCATAATCATTCCATTAAACCGGAATTTTTTATGCTCTATTGCAGGTAATAACTTGAGCATAACATTGCAATATTAGATGAACACTTATCAAAGTGAGATGGCAGAGACGAAGTTCATACGCAGAGGAATGAGTGAATTAGACCAACAAACTTGGAGTGAGGCAACGGCTTGGTCATCAATGCACACACAATTTACCCGACTTGCTTATTTATGGACCTTCCATGCCTGTCTTGGCTCACGTTGGTGGCATTGAAAGTAAGTAAAAAAAGTCACTTATTTGGGACAATTCGTTAACAGTCCCACGAAGGTCATCTTGACCATGAAGTGCACTTCGACTCAACTGTCGGGATCTGAATGAAGAAGTCCTAACAGCTGTAGTAAAAGTATACGTATAAAGCCATTCACTCTTTCAGCACATCGATCTGGCCGAATGTGAACACAGACGCATTTCTGTACATGTATCACATATGCAACTAATATTCCAATATTAAACATTTGGCGTACATATTTATTGCCTACATGTGACTCAGTCAGTTGCGATACATGCGTCTGTTCAGTTGCTGGCGTCTTGACCGCGGCGTTCACCGCCGGGGTGGCCCAGCACGCTCTCGCTGAGGCAGCCCCTCGCCACAGACCTGATGGAGTTGTCGGCAACACCGAGGGTGTCTACCTGCGTGGGGATAGTTTGGAGTTTGGACCTGATGAGTCGATATTCTAGGAGATTGAAAGACATTTTGTGAATACCTTAGTTTCATTTTTGCTCGAAAAAAGTCTTGATGTATTGGTTCACTGGAAGCAGTAGGCAAATTTTTCTGTTTTACGGGCTGTAATTGAGCGATTCTCGAGATTGGTACAGATTCAAACTTTCATCTCACTTTGTTATGAACCGAATCTACGTAAAGCCTGGTGTTATTATGACACAGAAAATGACTCTTTAAAATTAATTTAAATAATGTAATTAATGAAAGCTTAGCGACTTAACCATTGCTAATATAGCAAACGTGTCACATACAAATTCACATGGACAAACTTGAGAAGAAAAGCCAGACATTTTAAATCACAAAACCGTGCCTGTTGTTATGCATCAGAACTTATCTAGCATTGTGTCTTGTATAGAGGATGTTATCTTACGTGCGTGATCATTGCGTAGTCAAGATGGATGTCACCGTTTGAGGCGTGTACATTAGCGAACACGCACACATTGGAACCAGTGAAGTTGACGTCGCTGTGTGTCCAAATGTTAAAATCAATTGACAACCCTTAGCATGCTAACAAGAACTGTTCCAGGGATCTAAATATCTGATTTAGAAACCTGCTAATAATTACAAAAAAACGTTTTCTTAGATAAAGCAAACGACTACCTTAAGGTAGAGAATGTAAGTCTCGAACTGATATGAATGCCAAATGCCAGCAGATTGTTTGAACTAGAAGAAAAGGCGATGAGACTTTCAACGCGTTATGACCGAAAAGTCTTCGTTAGTTGTTCATTCAACAACGACTTACAAACAAAATTACCAACTAACATACATGTGAATTTTATATTTGCAAAAAGTAAATGAAGTGGAAACGACCTGGGTACAGATTTGGAAGAACCTTGAACACTGCAATGCAGATCTATATTCAAGGTGAAAATTTTTATGGCAGTCGCAATAATAAAATCGCTGAACAGTAGAAGTAGACGGAATGCGTGGTGTGTACAGTTGACCACGGCAAATTTCTAACAGTTGGGGTAGTTAATTTAGACGTAAGTAAACCGCATCATATTCAGGAGCATTTTTTAGCACATGGTGGCGCGGACTCACGTGTAGAATGTCCACCCCGACTGTCCGGTTACGATAAGCGATGAGACGGCCATGTCCAGGTCATCTAAGTCAGCGGCGTTTGTGTTGCCCCTGAACTCTTTGCCCCTGAAGTTCGTGCCCTCGTACAGGCTGTAGTAGTCATCGTTGAGGCCGTACGGACTTCCTGCGTACCTCAGCGACGACCCCTGCCGAAAACTCATCTCTTGAAACGAAAAATAGCATCAAACCTCTGTAGGGAAAATTTTCTTGTTTTTATGCTGAAATTTCGGGAAGTAATTGTATACCAGACATAATCATTCTACGGAGCAATTTCGTGACGCATTAGCGTCTTTTCGACATAAATTCATCCTAGGTTCGTAGAACTTCTATCTCGGCTTTGCCTTACCAGGTTTTGGCACCAAGAAGCCCAGTTTCCGCACCCGCCCAACGGCGCCGTTGTGCACCGAGTATCATTGTTAAGCTGGTCGTAGTTCACAGCGTCGTATATCACCCAGCTAAAATTTTGTGCTTGTATGAGTGAAATGAACACAGCGTGTACCTTTGTTTTGCCAAGAGTAGAAAAGCGATTCACTTAGACAATATTGTGATAACCATTATATTTTTCGGAGTCCAATTGCGTAATTTGTTGTATTTCCGTAAGAATCTGAATGAAAACTCAGGGGGTATAATTGAACGACGGAGCTCCTGGTTCGTCCATAATACAAGGCCACCTACTCAGAATCTTAGGCAGACACCAAATTGCACTTGTTTATTTTGGCTTTATTTCTACTTCCAAGATTTTATTGGAAATTAGATGGCGAGAAACCATTGACACACCCCAAATTATAAGCGGGCGAAGAGCTTGAAAATGACCTATTTTGCCCAAAGCCGTCGGGCGTGGCTGCTGAACGTCACCGATGACAAAGATTCTGATGCATTTTGTCCTATATTGTTTTTCGTGAATTAAGGAGGTCTCAAAAATAAAACATCAATCTCAACATTTATGACATTTATGATTGACCTATGCGAGTGCATTACCAATATCCTTTGTGCCACTTATGTACACATAACATCTAGAAACAAATCGTATAAAAAGTAATCAAGTGGAATCGAATGTATGGATTGCACTCACAATCCAAAACCACATGAGCTCTCGATGGTGTTGTCCATCTGCACCATGCTTAGGTCAGGCATGTACTCCGTGAACTGGTAGTGGGCGCCGGTTTGGTTGGGACCGGCGTAACCTGTCAGGTACCGGAAATCACCAGCTGCTGCGACTCCTGCAATAGAGAGAAACTGCCGCAACGTCCGCAGAAAGGTGATTACTATTCATCAAAAATCTAAAATCGGTGAAACTAGAGGAGGGAAAATATTGACACGGATTGGTGTATCTTTATCTTATCTTTATAGGTGTATTCTTTAAGGCAAAAATCTACCTGGGTTGAAAATAGAAACTCATAAAAAATAACCTAATTGTGTTACCTTCTTCATTCAAGTTGCTTGAAGTGATAAAAGCTAAGAAACACCAAAACTCTATGAAATTCATTTTGATATTGTTTCAATACAAACTACCGAACGTTGGAAGTTTGAAAATTTCAGACGAAGCAAAAGTTTCGAAGTTTCAGGCGAAGCAAAAGGCAAAGGTTCAGGCGAAGCACCAAATTGTACTACGTTGAGTGTCTTGAGGAAAGTCGGCAATCTGTTCATATGTCATACTTCTCACGAGTAGATAATAAGGAGTGGTATCACTGCAGTGAAGGGAGAGATATCACAAAAAATTGTTCACCAGATTGGGTTCCATAATTCGTATAACACCAAATGCTAACGAAAGCCGGAAATGCATCACTTTTATGATTTTTACATAATTTTTGCTGATATTGCAGGACGCATAGCACCAAATTTTTACTATATGACCTCATGTAAAGTTGTGAAATAATTTTTGAACGCACCTGGTAGAAGGCGTCTTTAAGGGACAAACAGCTACCTATATAAATAATTATGAGTGCCCGCCCTATACGACAAGCAACCCCCTTCGTGGTCTTCATTCGACCGACTGGTTGTGGTTTATTCGCGGTTTTGACGATAAGTGTTGACTCCAGATTTCTTCCATAGCTAGTTTTCAGTTACATAAAAATATACGTGTAAATTGATCGAGCATCATACTGAGGTAAAATTATGATTACTATCCATAACACAATGCCGCGCTCGATTATCTCGCTTCTTATGGGAATTGAGATATCTGCACTGTTAATATCTTATTTCCAAGACACCAAGTCTAATTTTAACATGACGTTAATGTCATCTGAATATAAAGGGCATCGAAACTTCCAGTCTTCGCTCCTCTCGCTAGGACTATACAAATGAAGTCATACAAAATGTGCTGCTTTCTAGTTTTTGCCTCTGTAATCACTCTAAGAAGGAAAGGTAACATAATCTAGCTCCTACGTTTGAACTATTCTTTATTTTCACGCCTATTAGATTTTGCTTTTCAGAATCGTATTCAATAATTCAGTGCTCACAACTTGGCACTCAGATTTCTCCTCTAATTTAAACATTAATGATCGCATTACTTCAACATTGATTAGTAATGACAAGTTTTTATTGATGTGATTGGTAATTATTTTTCTCTTTGCAGGAGCTGCAGGAGCGCGTGAGTTCCGGTACTTCTAACAGGTTAAGGGGAGCGTCTGGGCAAAATTTTATCTCGGCTGTTTACAGACAGATCACTCTGAAACTTGGTACACATATGTAAAACCATAAAATAGGCAGCTTTTATTCGTGTCAATTTTTCGAAAAAAAATGAAATAAAACTTAAAATTCTCAGAAAACGACCAAAAAAGGGGGTACTGTAGAAATCTATCTCCTCCTAGGATTTTCAAGCTACAACATTGAGACGCATATCATTCGATGCGTAAAAATCATATCTATCGATTTATCGTAGCGTTTTTCGAAATCCGAATTTTTGTGGATGGGGGAGCATTTTTTTGCAAAATTTTCAAAAAATTTTCGATTTTCCCCAATTTCCCCTCCTTTTTCCAAATATTTTCAAAACTATACGGAAATTGGAAAAAAGAAACGATAAATCAATAGATATTTTAATTGTAAATCGAATGGTATATGTCTCATCGCTGTAGCTTCAAAACTGTAGGAGGAGATAGGTTTGCAGTGACAATAAGTTAATTGTTCAGTAGAGCCCGACAAAGTCCCGGGCGCCTCGAAATAAGCGTTCAAGGTGACAAGAATGCAAGACTAGGCGAAACTGGAGCTCAATTCCTGTCAAGGATTGTGTGAACGACGACACGCAAACCCTCCCGTACAACTGCAGGCGGGTAACTGAAGCACAGCGTATGTGGACTAGCTATTTAAAAATGCTACCGGGAATTTCCGCCCATCTTTAATGTGGAAGAACTCCACTACCCCCCACCTTTTCGCGATCTGTCGTGAACGCATAAATCAACGTATAGAGATGATTTTGGTACCGTTGGATAGAGCAAAACGTCAGCTTTAAGACGAGACTAAAAACCGGAAAAGCCAAAATACAAAAATTTTGGCCAGACGCTCCCCTAAAGACGGCCTCAACTTCACCGGTCACCACTATACCACCTTACGAGTACTGCCCGAGCTCAGTGTGGTGCAGATGGACACCATACAGAGCGTCTGTAATACTGAGGTAAAGGTTGCAATAATTACTCTGGAGTATAAAGGATACATTTTTTATGGACTGTTAAATTTCAGAGTTCAGGTGTCATTCTGGAGATGCCTAACGAGAACTCAATAATGGTTTTAAATAATTTATTTTCACTGTGAAAAAGATCAAAACGCGATTTGCCTGTCCCATGCCGTTTACCTGCGCTCTAAAACTGCTTTAAATTTTAACGTAGTGGTTACGTGACAGTAAATGCCTTCATTTGAGACTCGGCTGTTGCAGCTATAGGCAGCTATATAGGACAGTCGGCTGTTGCAGCTATAGGACCGACGTTGAGACGTGTGAGATGAACGACAAAGCAGAAATGTTTGATTTAGAGACGTAACATATCACAATTAACGCGCCGAGCAGATTCCGGCCCAGTGCTGATGTAGGTAGGCCATCGTAACACGTAACGTAGCAGTTCTATGTCGCGTGTTTCATTCTCTTTCGCTGATCAAAGCATAATGATATAACGTCTTGATCAGTCTCCGTGATTTCTTTGGCAACCTTATTTACCTTGCAGCGGTACGGCTGACTGTTATAAGAGACGAATTATAAAGGAAACCCTCCCACCGCCGAGAACGATGCGAGATAAGATATTTAATAACCAATTTTACCTGCTACATTTCCCTGTTGCTTTCACACAGTGAATGCAAAATGCATGCTCGAAACGCATAACACGGCAAAATAAAATACACGAGAGTAACAGAAAATTAGGTTTTATTCTTATATGTAGATAATTTGCAGCAATAAAAATCCTGTCTGACTGTACCGTTAACTTACGCTATTGCAAATACATTTCTGAAATAGATTATTATTTTATCAGCTGCATCACACGTTCAATCTGCTGCATCAGTTGCATCAATCACGTTCATTCAACATAGCTGAGAACTTCCTCATATTCACCTATATATTCACCACATTTTCTCACGCTACCAGGATTAAGCGTTTGCACACTTCACTAGTCATCGATCAATATTCTCAAGCGCCACCATCACCAAGCATTTTCTCACATTAACCCAATCTTCAACATCCATCCACGTTAATCAGTCTTCAACATTCGCCAACATTAAACAGTCATTAACATGTGGAAGAATGTTGGGAGCTGATTAGTGTTTGGCAATGTTTAGGATGGGTAATTGGGAGAATGTTGAAGACTGACTAATGTGGGAGATCTGATAATAAAATGATTTTGGGAACCGCACACATTTTCATAGCAACCTCAAGTTACATAAATCCATATGCTGAACCGCACGTAGGTAAGCCATTGGTCGCACGTTAGAAGATCAACATATTATCTCAAATATATCACGCTATTATTCCACTAAGATCTCATCTTGTTCCACCGTATAACATCGCAAACGCACGCGTGGGGACCGTGCATTTCGTTGCTTATTGAGAGGAATATGGTAATTGTTCGCACGAAAAAAAAACGAAAAAAAGTGCCTGAACACAGTAATATTGGGGCACCCAATGAGCTGTTCATTTAAGACTTTTTAAGTTATCGTTCCGTTAATTCGGACCACCGGGCACTTGAATATCGAAAAAATCTTAGTTGGAACCTGAACACAGTAGATGACCGATTCAACTCTGATTTACTTCAAAACCAAGCTTTTTATCGCCTAAAGGTATGAAAATTGCTAGTAGGATGCCACTAACCCCCGGTCTAGCGCCAATTCGACTCAACGAACACACCCTGCATGGCGAGATCAAATTTGCAGCAATGCTGCACTAAACAAGCTCCTCTGTCTCAAACCAGCTCAGTACTGATGCTGTGTTAACTTTATCAGTTCACTGCTTGCATGTAGTGGGGTTTGACCGTTTTTCGTTGACCGTTTTTTGCAGTGGAGTTCGACCGTCTTTTTGCAAAAAATATCTTCTCTCGCCAAGCTCGGCGATGCTCCACTGGAAAAGTTAATATTCATAAAGGATTCATCGATATGTACACCAGATCAACACGTGCAACGATTATTCGGAAGACACAAATCTAAATTTAGCATAATTTATACATCATTTCATTTCTACGTAATCATGATTCTCTTTATGCTTGATATGAAGTAGAAAAAATTACTCAGAATAATTTGCGGAACGCTTTATATTTATATCAGAATTATGATATTAATTTGAAACTTCTCGGTTCACTTTGATGTTTTGCGCTGCTTATTTGCTCAAATTAGCACTGATGCCACGTTGACGAGAGAAACTCCAACCATAAAATGATCAGTGACAATAATTAATAAAGATACCAATTATATATGTATGTCGTCTGCCGAAATGAACTTTGTCTGCATTGGTTTCTGTATAAATAATATAATCATCTATCAAGAACCCTATTTTCACAGCTGGATACTATATACGATAACAAAAACTACTACCCTAATTAATATTAATGGATATGTGTGCCCGGTAACTGGTTTGGACATTCGTCAAAATGTGGCCGACGTTTGTTCGAAGAGGGTGAGAACAACAGTGGTTGGCTGCTTAATTTACGTCAATTTAATCTAATGGTATCTTGAAATGTTCAATTTGTGAATTGTTACATTGATATATGTTTACTGATAAAGTGCACATTTGCAGCTTAACTTTGGATTTTCCGGCAACAAGCTTAATCGAACGAGCTGTCACTTGAATGTTTCAACGATTTTTTATGAGATTGCAGGATTTCTACTGCTGAGTTACCAAGACAATTTTATTTTTTCAAATATTTTAATGACTACGAGGCGGTCGCAATTCATCCCAGTGAGATTAATTCACTTAGAGTTCGTCGCTGAAGAACGCTGGAAGACCGTATCTCTTCAATCAAGAATACTGCAACCTTTCTACGAGGGGTCAGGCTTTCGAGGCAGAGAGTTCAGGGGCAACACAAACGCGTCTGACTTGGCAGACCTGAACATGACCGTCTCATTTCGCTTTTCATGATCGGACAGTCGCCGCGGACGTTCTACACGTGAGTCCA